CATCCTCTTAAAGGGGAAGGGCCTTTCTTCCTCTCAGAGACACTTTCCAGATTTGAACTAATTTGCTGAGAGGATTTATTTTTTTATCACTAGTCAAACACAAGTGCTGCTCATAGACTCTCAGAAACCTATCACGACAAACCAAGTGACTGAGTTTTCCAGCTTTGTCTGTGTCCTATGACCCCATTAATCCCTTGCTGTTGATACTTGGCATATGCAAGATAGTTAAAATCAATATGCAAAGATTTGATTTTACCTTGTAATTTTAGTTCACTTATATGTATGGTTATGCCCCCTCTCTGGGTCCTAAGGTTGTATATTTTTGCTTTTTTATTTTTTTTTTTTGACTTTTTTGTAGAGGTCTTACATGTCTTATTTATATTTTTAAGATGAGGTCTTGGGTTTAATGAGCATAAGTTCGTTGTTTAGTTTAATTTTAACACATTGATTCCTAATAGTCTATCAATTTCTCCTGCTCTCTCCACCCCCATTTTCCTAGCTCCTTAAGTTGCATGTTTTATTAATTTTTGCTAGAAATTACCTACTTAATTATAAAAATTAAAGAACATGTATTTTCTTCTCAGTACAGTTTTGGCTTCCTCACCTAGTTTAGCCTAAAATCTTGTCTGTGTTTTGTAAATAATGCACTTTGTAAGTAGTGCCTTTATTTCTTTTTATCTAACAATTATTAGGGTGTTCAGAATTTCCCAAGGAGTTAGATTTTTTTAAGCCACAATTGTTATTTTTCTCATATTTTTATTCAACAAATATGCAGGCAGTGTTTCCTCTGCGGCAGGAACCGTACCAGATACAGGGAACTGAATACCAGCTGCCTCCCCGAGAGTCATCATTTGCTGACTGAGTGGCATTGTAATTACACCACTAGATACAATCACAGTCAATATGACGGAAGAAAATCTTGGTTGCCCTACGACCTCTAACCTTCACTAGAAATGGAGTTGCCTGCTGCAGTTAGTGAACTTTTCTTTACTCTTCATTCCTTACCTCGTTTTCTGCGGATGTATGCTTTTAGTATTTGTTTCATTCGAGTGAGTGAGTTATTTCCTGTCTGTAGCTCTCATGGTTTCTGAGTCTTGCCATAAACTCTGAAATCTAAAGGACGTTTAATTCATGAGGTTTTCAGTTTATGGCTACACTTGCAATAAAGGATTAAAACACGTTATAAGCAAGTGTTATGTTTTTGTATAAACAAACCCTGTATTTAAAAATTAACTCTTAAAAGAAATTAGCCGGCTAAAACATGCACTTTAATTTTAAAACTCACCAAGTCCTGAGACAGCTAACAACTAACACTGTTGCTCTATCTCCGCACCCGTTTACCCCCCAGAGGCAAGCACTTATGGTCATTTAGTGGTTTCTTCAGATAGTTACTGCCGCATTTGCATCAACATGCTTTCGCTACATTTACTCAAATCATCCAAATTAGGCAGTTTTTGGGTGACTTGTTTACATGGTGGCGGGTAAGTTTCCCTGAACTACCTTCCCTCCGTTCTTCAAAAACACTCATGTTGCTATAATTAAATCACTTTGCTAAATGAATATCCAGTGTTCTCATTTTGGGAATGTACAAATGTGATTCTCTTTTTTGTTCCCTTTAATACTTTATTTTTTGTATTTCATATTTTAAAAAGTTGTTTATTAAGGTAATGTTGATGACAATACTCGTATATGTTTTAGGGGTATAGGTTCATACCTCCACAAATATGTCATCATGCCATACCCAGCAGAGAGTCAAATACTAAGACATGGATAGATAACATGTCCTTTTTGAAATACTTTTGCATTTCCCTGGAATTTCTATTTCCCTAAAAAAAGTTCTTACTCTGGGCCCTCCCTGGTGGCGCAACGGGTTAGGTAGGACACAGCACTGCAAGCTGGCCTCAGCAGCTTCATTGCGAGTTCGATCCCCTGGCCGGAGGTGACCACATGGCGCGGCAGGCCTCTCCTGACCCGCCCGCTGCTCCCCTCGTCCATCTGCCTGTTCTGCTCCCCACTCTGTCTCTGGTGAAGCCTCTCGCCGCCCCTGAGCTAAGGCCACTTCTGCATGAGTTCGATTCCCGCCTGTCCTGGAGGTGACCACATGGCGCAGCAGACCTCTCCTGACCCGCCCGCTGCTCCCCCTCGTCGATCTGCCTGTTCTGCTCCCCACTCTGTCTCTGGTGAAGCCTCTCGCCGCCCCTGAGCCTCTGGCTTGTACCCCAGTTCTGTATGCATAAATAAATACATAAATGAAGAAATTAAAACAAAATAATATTATTTTAAAAAGTTCATACTCTAATTACCTTCTGTTGGATTTGTTACACATCTTTGTTATCTATATAATATACATGAATTATATATCTTTACATATATTCATGTGTGTAACATTTTACACACAATTGAATTTATATAAAGATTATATTTTATGTCTATATCAAGATTATATATAAAATATTTAAATTATTTTTATTTTGTCTTTTGTAACAAATACAACTATTTTCTCCCCCAGACATGCTGTCCTGTTAGGTCTCCTCTCAAGCCTTCTCATCTCTTCCAGAGCTGATTGAGAGGGCCAGACCCACTGCTCCTCTGTCATCACAGAACCTCCCTGACTCCTGAGTCGAAACTGCTGTTTTCTGGGGCCCCTCTATTTCCGTTCCTTTGTGCCGGAGGAAGTTCTCAAGCAGTCCACGGGAGATAGGTGTTCTGGGTTTTTATGTCCTCTAGTATCCTGGGTGTTGCTGTTGAGAGATTTGGTGCAGTCCTGAGCCTCATTCCTGGGCACAGATTGGAGCAGATGAGTGACACACTTCAGGCCTCAGAACATGGGTAGACTGCTGGAGGCTGGCTTCAAATTTCAGAAGCATGCAAATGCAACCCCGGTTGTTTACTTAAGGTCAATCTTCAGGGTGACTTTCAGGGCCCGGCCTGGGAATGTTTATGTCAGGACGCAGATCATCATCTCTGATGCCCTGCATAGAAGCACGGACAGATTAAGCAGATGGGCTCAGTGTGGCAGGGGACAGTGGCCATCTCCTGACTGGGTCCGGAGAAGCAGGGGTTCAAGCCCTGGGCCCCAGTAAAGACTCAGCTTCAGTTTGTATGAGGATAACATTGGATGAGCATGTGTTTGACTGTTGGACGAGCACAGGTTATTGCCGAAGAATTCAGCCTGGGATGTAGGTTGCGTAAGGAGATGGTCTCCGGGCTGTGCAGAGGGGCCTATACTTTTTCACAGCGAGACAGTTCACAGCTGGAGTGTCTGGTTCCACTTTGGATTTATAGTCTTCATTTCGTGCGTGTCTTGTGCTTAAATGTTCATTTTAGATGACCCTCTCTGTATAACTCTTATACGTAGCGGAAGCTCTCTTTATAACAAATAATAGTTTACTACTCGTCAGAGTGCTTGATTTCCATTTAACTTGCCACACTGCTATAACATATGTCTCTCTGCTGTGTTAGATTCCTCACGAGTACTCACTTAATCCTTGTGATTATGAACCCCAAAAAGAGACAACAGCCCCGGCCCCGCCTTTGTCATTGGGCTCTGCAAAGTTCAGATGGTTTGTTATTTGCCTTATAAATAGCAAGCGGGAGATGGTGTTACTTCCTGTCTAGTTGTTAGTGTGATCAATACAGCCTCGAACCGGCAAGCCAGCGCGGCCATTGCCCTCAGCATCTGCGTAGCACCCCCATCCTGAGGCGTCCTGAATTTTTCAATGGGGGGGGGGGAAGAAACTTCGGCACTTGGACCGCAGCTCACCCCTTGGCCTTTCTTCTCTCAAGTCTGTGAGCTGTACCGCTTGGCCAGGCCACACATGGCTGCATGCTCTGTGACCCCAGAGGCTGGAACTGGAGAATCGGAGACGGGGTTTCCCGATGCAGAGACCTGGCCTCCTTGGCTCTGCAGAGCCGGTTGGCACCTGCAGTGTATTTGCAACCCTCGGGGCGGTAATGTACCGGGCTCCTGCTTTCCTGGGCTCTGGACCATCCGGGCCCCTTGTGTCTGCTGCAGGTTGGGGCTGTTGAACGTTGGCCTCCCCCTGTCTGGTGGACAAGGTGGGACAGCTGTTCCAGCTCCCCGCGCAGGCCAGCAGGGGCTCAGCACCGCCGCTGACCGAGGACGTTCCGCTTTCCTACACCTGGGACCCAGCCATTGATCGCAGATTTCACAGGCGCTGAGTCCTGGAAGCTAAACACGCAGCAGCACCCCGCATGTGGGGAGCCACGCTGCCTTGCCAAATGTATCCCCCTCCCCTGGGTTTTTTACAAGTCAGGTCTCCTGGCCTGGACCCTTTTCCTCAGAGCCAGGCGGGTGATTGCAACATGGGTCCTTAGCATCAGTCTGGAGAACCGGGAGTCCAGTTTTTTCCTGCTTGCCACAAAGGCTCCTGCGCACGAGGAGGTGGCCGTCCGCGGAAAGCCACTGCACAGACAGATCTGTCTGGCCTCTGGGCCATGCGGACCTGGCCACTCATCCTGTATTTGTTTAATGAAGTCACCCTTAGAAGTTTAGCTTCTTTTGCTTAAAACACCACACCCATTGTGACGATGACAGAGGCTTCGGTGGGGAGGGATCCAGAGGACGTGGCCTAGATCGGAGAGGCCTGGCTGTGCAGCACATCCCCGCGAACTGGGGGCAGTTTCTTGCTGTCTTCAGCAGCAGAGAAGAGGAAAGAGCAAGTGGCTGTGGGCTCGGGAGGGGGGTGACGTAGCTGCGACCTCACTCTGGGGGGCCCCGAGCGGTTGGCTGGGGTCCCTGGGCGCCTGGTGGTATGCAGAGGGCTCTGGCGTGGTGTATGTGGCATAGCCTCAGATACTGACGCCGTGAAGCTTCCCACGACGGCGTGACACGGCCTCGTGAAGCCCGTATTTAGCATCCCGGCACGACGCACGCGTCTGGGGTGTTGCCCTCGTCTTCGCACGGTTGTTCTTTTGCTTGAGCTCCTTGTGGTTTAGTCCTCTCCTCTCTTACGCACGCTGTTTTCTTCTCGCCCCAGCTTTTGAACAGAAAAGACAAGACCACCTTTGAGAAATTGGACTACCTGATGTCTAAGGAAGATAATTACAAGCGGACTCGAGAATATATCCGAAGCCTGAAGATGGTCCCCAGTATTCCCTACCTAGGTAGGACTCTCCACTGGCTTGTTTTTTTTTTTCTTGAGAAACCCGCGCGGGGCCGAGTAAGACGTCTCTGGTTTGTAGCTGAGGCTTTTCAGGAAGCAGTGAGGCCCTGGTAATCGGTAATACCTCCAGTCAGAGGTAATCGGCTGGTTCCCTGACTGGAGCGGGCCGGGGAGCTCGGCGAGGCCTAGATATCAGGGCTCATCTGCTGCTTACACAAGTGGCCGTGAGTCCGCAGCCTGCAGCCCAGAGGTCACAGTGGCAGTGGCGTGTCTCTTACTTAGGGTTCACCTCCACCTCCAAGCTGGGGGGCTGGGACCTAGTTCTTGCTGTTCTGGTTCTCTGGGCGTTCTGAATATGTTTTATAAGATTTGCAGCAACAAAAGGATTTTTTTCTGATGAGAGAAAATACATGTTCATCTGAAGGAATTAGAAAGGAGAAAGTAAGGTCATTTGTATCCGACCTTGAGAGAAGCCGACCTGTTGCCTCACACCTTGCAGATCATTTGGGTGTACCTAAAATACGTTTATCGTAGTGTTTATGTGGTTGCCTACATTTCTGTAGGAGACTCAGTCCTACCAGATAAATTTGTCAAACTTGAATCTGCTCGCCAGTCTTGACATTTAGTTGTGTCTGCATTTTTGTTCTTAAAATTCTGCTGTGGCCCTATCAGTGCGCCGGCTCCCGCGTCACAGAGTGCTTCGTGGCCCGCCTTGCAGTGAGCGCCTGGGGGGTCACGGGCCACGCGTGTGCAAAGCTGTGCCTCTTAGCGCGCATTTTCAAAACCATCCTCCAGTGTGAGCTATGTCGGCTCACACTTTAAGCAGAAGGATATGAACTGGCCTGCCATGGACCAGTACGGTGACTTTTCCCTTCTTTCTTTTGTAACCTTGCCAGTCTGGTGGAGGCAGTGCTTCTTAGAAGGTGTTTCAGGATTGTGCCAATGGTGTGGGGGGAAATTCTACGATTTTGTGATCTAAAATAGCATTAATAACAAGGGCAATTCTGGCATTTTAGAAGTGACCCATAACATTTTCAAGGATTAGCACAATTTTTTTGAGATCACGTTTTTGACAACTTCTAAATTTCTCCCAGTTGCATTTTTATTTAGATTTTCTAATGCTTGAAGGGTCAATTTGCAAAGTTTGTTTTTAATAGAAAATTTGATCCAAGGTTTCAAAATTAGCAGTTTTTCCTCATTATATAAGTTTTATTACTATTGAATTTTGTAGAAAATTTTCTTATAAATTTTAACCTCCTACACATGTGTGGTTATATTTGCTGTGTATTCCTAAGCACTTGCATTCCTAATTTTTCTTTCTTTGTTTAATTTGCTCTGCAGGGTTTTTTTTTTTTTTTTCTGTAGGTCTTTCCAGTGAATTAAATATTGTATCTATCTGTTCTTCAGTCACAGTCTTTCTGTTTTCTGATTATTACTAGTTTAGGAGGTGTTTTTTCTAATCACTTTCAACACCTTTGAAATTGGTATGCATTTTCTGGATGGCAACAAGGTGCTGTGACATCGTTTAACCGGCAGCAGTTTTTCTTAGAGATGGTTAAATTAATGATGCATCTTATAATAGCGACAGCCTAAACTGATGAAATATGGAATTTTTCTTATTTTTATGATTCACTTCACTCGCGTTCCTTATTTTATTTCTGTTAGCTGCTTGGTTTAATGATTGGTTCATTTGTGTATATTATTCTTTTCACTTAACATGGAAACTAGCGAAGGCTATACATTGTCCTCTACTTGCGGCTTTTGCTGTACCCTCTGTGTTGTATCCCCAGTGATAGTCCTGAAATGTTGTCATCATAGTTCAACTTATTATTCTTTTATTCATTTATTACTTAAGGTAGTGGCTTTTTCAATTTATAAGAGCTTGAGCTTTTTCCCAAGCACCTTTATTGAGATCTAATCCATGGACTCCATTTAAAGCATGTATTTCAATGGGCTTTAGTGTATCACGAAGATGTGCAACCATCATTGCAATTTTAGAACAATTGTATAATCCCTAAAAGAAACCCCATACGCATCCTTACTCATTCCCTTTTTCTTCTAACCACCACTCCCTAGCCCCTGACTTCCAGCCCTGGCAACCGCCAATCTACTTTCTGTCTCCATGGATTTGCTTTCTCTGGACATTTCATATAAATGGAATCACATAGTGTAAGGTCTGGCACGACTGGCTTTTTTCCTTTTGCATCATGTTTCGGAGCGTCATTCCTTATAGAGCACGATCAGTACTTCATTCCTTCTCACTGCCAAGTAGCATCCCAGTGTGTGGATACACCACTTGTTATTTATCTGTTCGTCATCTGTTGGACATTTGAGTTGTTTCCCCTTTTTGGCGTTTATAAGTAACATTGCTAGGAATGACTTGGGTTTTTAAAAACATAGTCTTCCCTCTAAGTATTTGCACGTTCATTTAGCATATGAGATACACACACACACACACATACTTTCTAGGTTTTTGGAAATATTTGAGGTTTGTCTTGTGGTGCAGTATAACATCAGTTTTTACAAATATTCACAGGTACTGCAAGCCAACCCGAACCTCCACGTTACTTTGATAGCTACGTTATAGTGTTCAAACTATTCATTTGTTGCCATTTGTTCTATAAGGACAGAAATGTGTGTCCGAGTGCCCTTGCATTGCTAGTGGTTTTCACTTATATTAGTCGGTGTATGAAGAGTTACAATAGCGGTAGGTTCACTGGGCTGTGTCCGCACACAAAATGACCTGGGTGCTCTTTGTTATTTGCTTTTATTTCTTTGTCTGATACTCTGTGAAACCTGTTTCGTTTTTATTTCACACTGATTTTATAAGTCTTTGAATCACTTTGGATGGCAGTATTCCAAGTCCTTTGTTTCAGCATACCTCCATGTAAACAGAATTTGTTGGACCCAAACAAACGCTGTGTAGTCGGGGAATTTGACTCTTCCCTGTGTGGTCTTGTGCCCTGTTACTGAACTGAATACTGTTTCGTGCTTTGTTTTCCCCATTTTATCATGTCCTTGTTCTGTTCTTATTGCTTGTTGTGAGCTGCAGTGTCTATCTGCTTGGGGATCCCCATCTCAGATCCACAGGTGGAGGGAAGACATGTTGATATGCACAACCCCTGAGCCCTCCCCACTTTGCAAAGGCTGAATGATCCAGGGCTGAGGGCTGGTATTCAGGCGAGGCTAGCTGAGTGCAGCCCACGGGCTCACCCCTCCACGATGCTCCGGGATCTGCGCCTCTTTGTGCCCTTAAGTGTGATCATGAGCGCTGCTGTTTACTGTCCGCGCTCTGCGGGCTGGCACTTGGCTTGGCCTTTTACTGCATTTCTCAGTGAATGTTCACAATAGCCCAGTGAGTAAGCCAGCGCGGAGAGGCTGTGTAGGGTCACGCAGCTGGGGGTAGCAGTGGCACGACCTGGGCCAGATGGTCTGGCCGTGAGCCCCAAACTCTTGACACCGCCCTCTCCTGACTCCCACCTTCCTGCCCGAGCCGTTACTTTCCTCTTCTCGTCCCTTGCAGTTGTCGCCCGCCCGTGTGTCTCCTAACATGTCTGACAGTGTTCTGCCGGCCGCTGTACGATGTGATCAGCTGATGCACTGTGTCAATTCTCGAGACTGTGTTCTCAGGCTGCAGAGCTGTGCTGTTGTTGGCTTCCAAGGCTGGTGGCCAGTGGGTCCTGGTCAAAGGCAAACTAGGCCACAGCCACCTCCCCTTTCTGACCCTTGTCCCTGCTCATGGGCCACACCAGTTCCCCGATGTGTGCCCTCAAGCTGGCGGCCAGAGGTCCCTTGCGCGTTGCCTGGTGGCTCTTGCTGGGAGGGCCCTGCTAGCGGCGTATGCATGGTCTTCTCCAGCCCAGTGTTTCTGGGCCTCGGCAGCTCCTCGCAGCTGCCTTTTCCTGCAGGGGCTTCTTGAGGGCTCAGTCTGGGGATCTCCTGCTTTAACCCCTGAGCAAGCCCAGTTAGCCACGCTCCTGTCCCTGCACCCTTCAGAGTCTCTCCTCCCCTTGAGCCAGCTGGACTGCATGACCGGGCCCCTTTCTGTCCTCAGGAAGCCTGTGAGGGTTTACCGTGGGGGCACGGGGGTGCAGCCTGGCCTTGGAGGACAGACTTTGCCCCCAGTCCAGCACAGCTTCAGTGCTGGATTCCTCCTGAAAACCCACCCTGTCAGGGACCCATTTGTTGATCTCAGAGGAGTAGTTACGTAATTCCTGGAAAGAACGCTATAGGAAAAAAGTGTCTGAAACCATTTCTTTCCCCTGGCAAAGTCCCCACTGTGGGTCTTTCCCTGGGAGGGGCGGTCACTCTGCTTGTTAGTTCCAGCTCTGGAGGCCTTGAACCTTGCCTCAGCGGTTACTGGCCTCTGAGAGCAATGAAAGGTTTTATTTTTGTGACGATTCTTTTCATTCTAGGTGGAAGGCCCTGGCTTCCAGGCCTGCCCACACACCTGCCTCTTGCTCCACTTGACACCACTGGGCGGCGGTTGGGGGGTGTCTCCTAGCTCCCTGCAGGCGGCTCCTCACTCCTGGCTGCACCCAGACTCCCCCAGGCACCATGTAAACAACACTAAGGAAAAATGGATTGTCTTTTAAAAATAAGACTCTTTGTATCAAAAAGTGTCTTCCCTATTACGTCAACCTGTGAAAATAGTGATGGGAAACAGATTTTTGCAGTTTAAATTTTTCTGATGATAACTTCTGGTAAACACCCAGTTGCGATGGAAATGATAACAGAAGCGGCGCTGGAGAGCGTGATGAACGGCCACACCGTTTGCTCCAAACTGGGCTGTGGCTGAGAGGATGTCTGGCTTTGCACTGCCTATACTTCCCTCTAGGAGATAGCTTAGTGAAACTAGGAATGTAATGGATTTGAAAGGTTTAGAAGAGATTCTAAAAGAAGCTATAGGCACTGTGGATGATTGTGATCTCCAGGGAACAAAATTAGGCACTCTGACCTTTCGGAATAATAAGAGAACATGAAGCCATTCTTGGAAAATCC